TAATAAGGAAAAAAGACTTAATTCCTAATTCATTTATATTAATAATATAAGGCATTATAAGAGTATTTTCTTCTATTAAATAAGTCAAGTTAATCTTTACTAAATCTATACTATAAGCCTCTAAAGTAGAAACTTTCTTTAGAAATACTTGTTTTCCGGTTCTATACTAGAATTAGAGTTTAAATTCTCCGAATATTTCGCTAGAATAATATATTCCGGTAGAATAAGAATTAAGTCTAGCTTAATTCTAGAAAGAGCTATTTTGGTTTCCTTATTATATAGAAATAGATAGTATCTAGTATAGTAGCCAAACTCGTTATAATTAAAGTATTTAATAATTAAGAGATTCTTAGTTTTTATAGAATATTACTTATATTTATAAGGAAATATATATTTAATAAAAGTAGTTAATATAGGCTCTTTAGGCTCTTTCTTAAAAATATACTTCTTAGAAGTATATAGGAATATAATACTAGAAATAAACTTAGCTAAAATAGCTTCTGCTTTTTTATATTTCTTAGTTTTCTTATATATAGCCTTAATTTACTAATTATTAATAGTATAGTACTAAGTAAAGCAGATAGTATTAATAGAAGAATTATTATAATATATATATACTAATTTCTAAAACTTTAGTAGAAGCTTCTTATTTAGTTTATACTTAATATCTTAAAGACTAATATTGCCTTTTATAGATAGTTATAAGAAGAGAATATAGAACTCCTGAAATACTTAACTAAAGTATATTTAAAGCTTACTAAAGTTATAATAAGTATTCTATATCTTATTAGAATTAGAGTATAGCTTCTTTAGATAGAAATAGAACTCTAAGAGCTAATAGTACTAATTTGAACTATCTTTATTTATATAAGAATTAGTTAGGGCAAGAGTATTACTAATAAGTTTACTAGAAATATAGATAATCTTGAAATTCTCTAAAGAATACAAATTAGTATTTCCTTATAGCTTATTCTTAATTTGAACTAGCTAGTTATTAAAAATAATATAATTTCTAGTAAAGAGAGTTAGATCTGAGAGTTTAGTAATTCTAGTATTTCTAAAGGAAATATAAGATATAAGGAATTCTAGATAGAAATAAGTAAGAAATAGTTCGGAATTCTTTTAAGAGAAGTTTAGAGTAAATAAAGTAAATAGAATAGAAGTAGTTAGAGCTACTATAAGCCAATCTACTATAGCTATATAGTATTTGACTTTATTCTTAAGCTTAGTATTATAGAGCTTAGTATTCTCAAGAATAGCTTTATTATAACTATAGGTATTCTTATATAAAATAGCTTTTTAGATATTTTTCCGGTAGCTCTTTATAATAATATTAATATCTGAGAGTAAAATATTAGATTTCTTAATCTATTTATATAACTCTCCGGTAATAATATAATTATTAGTTTCCAGAAGCTTTATAATAAAAGTAGAGAATTCTATTTCTATAGACTTATTTATAAATTCTCCAGAAATACTAACGGAATATTTAATTCGGGAAAGGCCGCTAATAGAATAATCTAAACTAGTAGGAGCTTTACCGGAAGCCTTAGTAGAAGTTAATATAGTTTCTGATTATATAGTATTCTGGGAAGTTAATCTATTATACTTTTCCTTTATTATATTCTTTCTAGTAGTTTTATTACCGGTATATATATAGGGCCTATAAGGTTATAGGATAGAACTTAAGGATAATAGTTAGATTACTGGCCTATATATACCTATTACTCTAGAACTTAATTAAAAAGTAGCCTTTATTTAAAGTTCTTCGATTTTCGGGTTTTCGGAAGGTTTCTAATATATTACTAGTATATATTTATAAAGATATAAATATCTGATTTCTTTAAGGGTTCTAAAGCTTTTTGCTTTTATTATTCTAAAGTCTATTACTTGTATTTCTGAAGTTCTATTATCTTAGTAATACCTATATTTCTAATAGTTCTAAATTAGTTTATTTGAAATCCTTTATAGAATTAAAGGAAATAAGTTTTAAATACTATTACGGATATAGTATTTAGGGCTTAGAAAGCAAGGTAGAAAGTCCCTTATAAAGACGATTCAAAGCTAAGAAAGGGAAAACTAGAATATAGGAGGCTATAAAAGAGTATATATATCTTATAGTATACTAGTTCCAAAGAGGCTTAGCCTTCTAAATATCTCTAGTATATTTCAAGCCTATTTCCCTAGTAAGGCGGCTGCGTTATATATATCTAGGAGGTAACGGGATATAAGTAACGGGATATAAGTAATAATATTAGCTAATTATATTAGCTAACGAGGTTAAAAGCTGAATTATAATAATACTAATATTATATAAACCTCTAATTCTTTAATTATTTCTTATATAATAATTAAATTATTTCTAGAAATTATTATTAGCTAAATCTTATTCTTATATAAATTAAATATATTTATATAATTCTTATTTATATAAGAAATAATATAGCTATTAGATATAGTTATAAAAATAATAGTTATATTTATATTTTTAAATATATTATTTTTCTAATAAATAATATATTAAATAAAATATTTATTTTCTATAATTATACTAATTATTAATACTAATTCGAGTAATATAAATATAATAATAATTATAAAGTAATAAGTAATTCTTTCGGATTTTTTATTTTCCGAGTCTTATATTTAGCTCTTATAATTATTAATTCCGTTTCTTTTCTAAGATATTAAAACCCGATTATTTCTGGTTCTTTTATTTCTCTATTAAACTTTTATATTTTATAGTTATTTCCTATTTCTTTTATAGCTATTTTAAATATCTCTAGTATTTCTTTAAAGCTATAATAATTCTAGTCTAATACTTATAAATTAGATTTCCTTATATTATTTCTTTTAAATAAGAAAATAAATATTATAGTTTCTAATTTGAATTTCTAATTTCTGATTTTTAATTCTTTATTTTAAATATATTATTAAATATTTCTTTTTTTTCTATTATTTTATATTAAAACCTTTCTAATATTTATAATATATTACTTTATTTAGATTATAGTAATATAAAATACGAAGCTAGTTTTAATTTTATATTTATATTCTTAAATAATAATAGTTTTCTAATATATATACTAAATAGTAATAATAATAATTCTTTAGCCTATATATTAAATAGCTATAATAATAATTTTCTAGCTTATATATTAAATAATTATAATAGTAATTCTCTAGTATATTTTCTAAATAATTATAAAAGTAATATTCTAGTAAATCCGGAAAATTTAATATTAGCTATAACTTTATTAAATGTAATTCTAAATAAAGAGCTAATTCTAATAAATATAAACTATTATATTATATTTCTTAGCTTTTTTTTATTACTATTATTAACTTCTTATTATAATATTTATAGCTATATATTATTTCCTTACTATTAATCTTTAATTATAGCTAACTAGTTTTTAGAAGTATTAGAAATTATAAATAAAAATATTTTTAATAGTAATTAAATTTATTCTGGATTTTCTAATATTTAATTCTTTTTTATAACTCGAAATTCTATATCTCGCTTTTTTTTTCAATCCGGTTTCTAATTCTATAAAATTTATTATTAATATAATAGAAATTACTTTTATTAATTCTTTATTATTTCTCTATATAATTAATATTTCAGGCTTTTATTCTTATTATAATAATATTAAATAAAATATAATTCCTTTATATATTCTAAAATAGTTTTAGAATAAGCTATTAATTTATTTTAATAAAATTACTATTATTTGAAAAATACTTAGAAAAATAGAATAATATATTAAAAATATATTAGCTAAATATATTTAGGTTATAAATTAAAATAAAGCTTTTTATATAGCTAAAATAATAATAATACTAAAAAGAGCTTTATAATAGCTAAAAGATAATAATTTATTCTTTTCTTAAAACTTTCTTTAATATAAATATTTTAGCTATATTATATTTTAGAATAATAGAAATAATAATTATTAAATATTTATATAATATTAAAATAAGCTATAATTCTTTAGAAATCTAAAAAAAGTATTAGTTTTTTATATTAAAACTATTTTTAGCTAAATATTTATAATTATAATAATATATATATAAGTTCTTATTAATATATTAGTAATTAAGGTTTAAAATTTCTAAAAAATAAAATTATTCTAATAATTATTATAATATTATTATATATATTTAAATTTTAATTAAACTTAAATATAATAATATTAGAAAATATAATTTTAAATTAATTTCTATATAGAATTTATTATATGAAATTAAACCCAAAATCTGAACTAGCTATATAAGATAGAATAAGGCATTATTTATTAAAACTTTTTAAATTATCTAATATTATATAATAGTAAATTATTTTATCTATAATTAAATTAATTATTATTAATAAATAATAAAACATAAAAGGAAATATTTTTAGGCTATTTTAATATCTCTTAATATTTAAAAAAAAAACTAGAATAAAGAGTAATTATTAAATATTAATCTAACTTGTTTTTACTAGAATATAAATATTAATATTATATAATCTTTTTAATAATTACTATATTTAAAAAAAATTAATACTAAAATTATAATTCCTGATTTAAAAATAAGCAAACGCTATACTAGCAGCTTTTATAGCACTCTTATATAAGGTAAGAATAAATATAAATAATAATTATATTAAATAATACTTTATATAATGCTTCAGGCTATGCTCCAGGGTCTTATTCACTAGAGAAAGCCCTGTAGAAATACACGATTCACTTCGCCCCAAAAAAAATTTTGCCTTAAGTAATAGAAATAAGACTTAGAACTCCCAGAATTAGTCCCCTGGCTAGTTTGTATTTGACACTATATGACCAAAGGAAATGCGAAGTAATACTGAATACAACGACCTCATATCAACAAAGTCCTATTACATTCTGGATTCAGGCTGATGACAATAATGACCAGGACCTCATTAAGCACACCCTCAAGCTAACTCGTGCCTCACGCTCCTCGCCCCCCCCCTCCTCACTCCATCCAACTCCTGCACCTCCAAACTCGACAAGTTCCCATCCGCCATCATCTCCTGCGGCTGCATAACCGGGTTCGGCGTCTGCGGCCTATCCGTGTCTCCACCTAGACTTGTGTGGTGTCCATATCTTCCGCCACTATGGTATCCCGCGAAAGGGCCTTCTTTTGAGCCTAGATGTTGACATGTGGCTCTTTGTTGGCATCTTCGGCGGAGGAAGAACAATCCAAGCAACCCTAGGATGGCGACACCGGCGATGGTAACTCCGATACCGATTCCGGCTTGTGTGACTCTGCTGAGCCCTGAACTACCACCATTATTACTACTCGAACTCGACGACTGCGTAGCTGAGGATGTATGAGTTGTAGTATTACTCATGCTAGTACTCATGCTGGTACTCGTGCTAGTACTCGTGCTAGTGCTTGCGCTCGTCGAGCTCGCTGCCGTCTGCACCACACTTGGTACCATGTATGTTGCAACGAGCGCACTTGGCGCTGGGGCCTGGAAACTCTCTGTAGTTGGATCATCGCAATGGATTGTACCGTTTGTTTGCCCGCAGCAGTGCCAGTTACTGGTCGTTTGGTTGTAGACGACGTCTGAGGGGTCGAGGTCTGTACAGGCGGGATTGCAGGCCGGTGCGTTGAAGGACTCGTCGGTGCAGCCGCCCATGTAGTATCGAGAGACGACGGAGGGAGGAGGTGGCTCGGGACGTGTGTAGTGGCAGAGGCCGTCTGCCAGGCATGTATCGCCAATTTCGCAGCAGGAGGAGAAATTCTGGATGAGATGTTAGGGGGGTTGACGAGGATGGGGAGGAGGTGCTGACGCCATTGGGAGCAACAACACCACATGGGTGGCCGCTAGAGGTCTTTATTTCGTTGTCACTTTTGTAGTAACATTGTGTTGCTAATACGTTCTGTGCGTATGTAGTTTGGGCACCCAGTGCCAGGACAGTCGCCATTGCGGGTATTGAATACATAGTGACTGTTTGCCTTGAATCTTCTCTTTTCAATTCAGAGGAAATAGCAAGGAGAAATGATCGATCTCATACACTTGATAAGGGTTGATGTTGCTCCTTGTCCACGATAAAATGATGAAGTTCAAGAGACGAACTATAGTAAGTTAGTGTGGAAGCTTGAACATCACACTTGCGGGACACGTCTTTATTAATTTAAGGCTTAATTTAACCTTGCCAGGCTGCCCTCTATCCTGGACCTGCTCCATGTCGTGCTGTGCGTCCCATTTAGCCTCGATCGCTATTCCTTGACACTGAGTGAATCCTGGGATAGTATCAGTCTTGATCCTTTTCCATCCTACGATACTTATTTTCGTCTGTATCCAATCATACGAGCTTTAGGGAACAGCTCCCTATTTAACTCAGTGGATTTGAAGGGTAGGATGTGACGGGTGCCAAAATTCAGGAGAATAAGTTTTGGAATAGTAAGGTCTGCTCGAGTTGTACAAGGATGTGAAACGAACAATAAAACTTAATATTCTTAGAGATGGCAGTTCCAAGGTTGCGACGATAATGCATCAAGGTGTTTGCCACAACACCCACTCTCCTAAATGTACTGAGGCCATTAATAGTCGGACTTAACGTCACGACTAAAGGGGCCCCACCCTTTAGTCGGGGAAAGCGAGATGGCCCGCGCCAAACCAAAATTACTATGTGACTATAGACAATTATATTATACCATATAATAGATAAACCTCTATTTTATATGTAATTAAGAATATAACCTTTTATTACTCTAATACTACGAAATCTGCATTTTGAGCTATTAAATTAGTTAATATTACTAATTTAAATAATACAGAATATAGAATTACTTCTTTTTTACTAACTCTATTATTTATATTCTCTCTTGGTTTCTCTATCTCCTTATCTAATCCCTCGGTTTCCTCTAATATTGCCCTTATATATAATTAACTAAAAGGGTTCTCTTTTGCCCGGTAAGCTTATTTAGATATAAGTATTATCGGATTAATAGAGATATTTATAAAAATTATAGGATTTTTAACTTATATATAATTAAATTCAGTTTGCTTCTTAGTAACTATATTATAGAGTAATTAGTACTTGATTTAAATAGCTTTAAGCTCGAATTCCGTAGGTTTATTCTGGGAATTACAAATTAGTATTAGAAGTTCGAAAGAAATAATTATATTAATTCCAAGAATCTATTTCTTTATTTATATTTCTAATTCTTTTACTTTCTTTTTTCTCTTTCTCTTTATTACTTATATAGCGATTTCGATTCTTTTAAGAGCTTTTCTCTTAGCTAATTCGGCTTTTATAAGCTATTTCTTTGCCTTTTTAAACTTCTTCTCTATTACCTTTCTTATTTTAAATTTTTTTTTTACTAGAGTATTAAATTTATTTATTTATTTCCTTTTTTAAAAACTGAGTTATATATTTAGCTTAGTCTTATACTAATTAATCTATATTTTATAAGAGTTCTAAATATCTATTTCTTATAAACTTTTAAGTATTAGGTAATTTTTAATAGCCTTAATTATAATTATATATTTCTTATAAAAGAAAAAGCTTAAAATATCTAGAATTTTATTATTAAGGTTATTAAGTTATAAAACGTATTTATTATATAAAAATATAAGTTTTAGAAATATAAGTAATTAGTATATTTCTTCTAATTTATAAATAAAAGCAGATATAGAAATTAATAGGTTTTTAGCTTCTAATTTAATAATTAAATTAGAACTAAATTCCAGATTTTCTAAGCTAGTATCTTTTCTTTTCTTTTTACTATATTTTTTAAGTTTTCTCTATATTATTTTAAAGCTAATAGGCCAAATTCCTATATTTTAAAAAATATATTAAATTATATAAGTTATAAATATTTTCTTTTATATTTCAGGGAAATTATAAAAGAAATACTAAATATTATATTTATAATATTAATTTATTAGTAATATTTCTATTTTTTAAAAATACTAATATTATATAATTAAAGGAAATATATTTAGTAAAAAGGAAATTATATAATTTATATCTTATTATATATAGCTTTTAAAATAAAATTATTTGCTTAATAATAAATTACTTTATTAATTAAAAGAATATATTATTTCTTATTAGGCCTATAATTATTATATTTAATAAAATAATTTAGCTAAATTATATAGATTTCCTCGTTTATATATCTTATAAAAGAAACTATAATAATCTTATAACTAGTTATATTTTTATAGAACTAGAAAACTATAATTATAGCTCTAAATATAATTATTACTAGAGGAATTATTTTATTATTTATAGATATATATTTTATTATTATAAAAAATATATAATTCTCTAGTATTCCTATATATATTTCCTTAATTCTAATTAATATAATTACTTTCTCTTTTATAAATATATAAATATAAGCTTTTTCTTATTTATATTATATATTTAATTTCTGTAATATATACTAGTTTATTCTAATATAGAATAGTATTCGATTTTAAACTATTTATAAAAGCTTTATTTTAATTATATAAAGTTCTAAAATATTTTTCAATTATATATTATTTGCTTAATAGCTTCTTATTTTTTATTAATTATATATAATATTATATACTAATCTAAATATAGGATTTTATTTTACTTTCTTTATTATAATATTTTTTTCTATTCTTTTTTAGGAATTAAATAGTCTTATAAAGCTTATTTTTTCTGGTATATATATAGAAGTATATATTTGGATAGGCTATTCAGGCGAGCTATTGCGATTAAATTAGATAAATTTTTGGGGCTAGTAGTATACAAATTAATTAATTTTTACTCTAGGAATTCTATATAAATTAAAAATCTATGCGTTTTGATACGGGCCATCTCACTTTTGCGGGCCAACTCGCTTTCCCCGACTAAAGAGTGGGGCCCCTTTAGTCGTGACATTAAGTCTGACTATTAGCGGGCTAGTTAATAAAACCGAGAAGCGAAGAGTAATTTTCTAATTTTTTTTATTTTTGCGCCCGCCCCCCCTCACACCTTACTAAAAAAAAAGTATAGTATATATACCTTATTCTCAACTACTTCTAGCCCCCCCCTTAGCTTGCATGGTCCGTAAGGCAAATCCCATAGATTATAAGACATATCTCCCTTACTTTCTATATTTTCTGTATTATTTATATTATTTGAATTATTTATATTTTCTTTATCTTTTTCTTTTCTAATATCCTTACCCTTCTTTATTATAACCTTCTTTCCCTTTACCTTCTAATCTTATATCTGTTTTTATACTTGCTTTCTATATTTTATAAGTAGTTAAGGCTTTAATGTAAAGGATTTTATAAATATAAAATAAAGCTTTTAAGATTTAGTAAAATTAGTATTAAATTAATAAAAAGTATAGATTTTACTATTATTATTATATCTATAATTTATATAAGTACTATTAAATTTGCCTTTTATAATTATATAGTATTTAAAAGAGCTTTTTAGTTTTTTCTTATTATTATAAATAATATAAGCTTAAAAGAATTTAGTTCTATAAATATATATTAAGTTTATTTCCAGATTTGCTTTGCCTTTTTCTAATTTCTTTAGCTTTCTATTCTAGTATAGCTCTATTTCTCTAATTTTAGTCTTATTATTAATTTACCTTATTATTTTAATAATATTATCGGGTAATATAAGAAAATTAAAGTATTATTATAAAGAAAAAAGAAGAAGAAAGATTATATATAAAAAGAAAATTAAGAAATAATGGAATTTATTAATTAAATATATTAATAAAAGAAAATATTATAAACTAAATCTAGATTATTAGAAAATATATTATAAATATTATCTTTTTATTTATTTATAGCTTTATTACTTTTTCTACTATTTTTGCTTTTATTAAAACTATTATCTAAAGTTATTTTTAATATATTTTTAATAAAAAGAAGCTTTAATAATAGTATTATATATTAGAATTAAAGTTGTTTTTAGAAAGAAATTAAAATTAAAACTAAAATTAAAGCTAGTATAATTATATTTTTATTATTTATTTTTAGAATATAAAAATATATATTTAATAGCCCTAGATTAAATATATTTAAATATTAAAAAAATTATAATTTTAGATATTATAGTTATAAAAATAAAAATAAAAATAAAAATAAAAATATTTTTTCTTTTATTAATTTATAAAAACTAAAATATAATAATAATTAAACTATATTTAATTTATATAATTAGCTAATTTATTTTATTAATTATAAATAATTCGAAGTATTTTAATTTCCTTAAATTTTTATATATAGCTTATTATATAAACTTTTATATTTCTATATTTAGTAATATTATAATTATAATTTTTAAATAACAAGAATTTCTTTATTCTAATATATATAATTATATTTATTTCTTATTTTTCAAATATATAATTATTAAATTAAAGAGGCTTAAGAATTTTAAATAGTACTTTTTTCTAAGAAATATATATTTTTAATAAATAATAAAAGCAAATATAAAATTATATAATAATATAACTATAATTCTATTTTATTTTTATTTTAAAATCTTTATTCTTTTTTTATATTTTTTCGATTTTACTATTAATATTAAAAGCTTTTATTCTTTATTAATATCTTTATTAATATCTTTATTAATATTAAAAGCTAGTATTTAATTATTATTTTAGTATTACTTTTATCTAAAACTCTTATATTATAAATCTTTAACTTATTTACTTTTTAGAAAACTAAATTTTATATTTCTTTTTTCTTTTTATAATACTTCTTATATTTTTAGGCCCTTTAAAAATATTTTTTCTCGAATTTCTAAAAAAGAAGCTAATTTCTATTTAGATTTCTTTAAACTTTAATACTTTTTTTTTAATATTTATAAAAGCCTTTAGACTATTATTAAATATTTCTATTTTTTATTTTAAAATATATATTAATTTATTCTTATAAGAAATAGCCTTTTTCTTTCTAATTTCGACTTTTTTAATATATATTTCTTACTTTTAGGCTATTTAAATATTTTATTTATTTATTTTTATAAAATATATACTAATTTCTTTTTTAATTTCTTTTATTTTTTTATTTTTTTTCTAATTTTAATAAATCTTTTCTTTAT